AAATCCACTGCTGAGGGGAGCAGCCGGGAGACAGGAGAGGTCTGCTGCACCCTGTGGGTCAGCTCCCTGGCAGGCCGGGGATCGAACTAGTGCTGCAGAGGCTGTAGATAGCTTCACAGTGCTGTGCTTAACCCCTTGCACCACCAGGGAGGCCCAAGACAGAAGGTTTTAAAGCTCAATAGTCCATTCTCTGCACCTTCCTCCAAAAAGTTCTTTCTCAGAGCAAGGAACTGCTAACTAGCATGGCTGGAAATGGTCCTACAATACAGTGTGCTGTGTCCCAGGACAAGATGCTCTGCTGGGACAGGACAGGTGATGTGGGTGTGTGGGTGGGTAGCTGATAGATAATAGACTTTCCCCTGGTATAGAGAAAGGAAACCCCACTGGAGCCACTTTTGTCCTATCAGCCTCATTTCAGCGATGGGATTTTCCATCAGTTTCTGAGCTCTGGGGAGCACAGATCTCTAACCAGGCTTCCCAAGCCTAGGCCCTGACTACAGTATGGGACACCAGGACCCTGTTTTCCCATGGAGAAGCTGCGGCAAGCATGGACGGGGGGACCTGGCACAGCAGGGGAGGCCACTCTGATCCACCCATACCTCTGCAGGCTGCAGCCCCACCAGGAGGAAGTGCGGTGAGGCCTGAGGCCAGCCCACAGCTTCCTGTGGTCTCCCCCTTCCACAGGATCCTTCCTCAAACCAGCAGCAGGCCGCACAGGCCGTGAGCCACATCTCCCGCCCTGCTCTGTCTTGGTGAGTCGGGGTGGGGGTGGCCACAGAAGGCTGTTGGTGGCAGGGACACATAAACTGCTCTCACTGGTGTGTCCCTCCAGGCCTGCGTCTGGCCCAGAGTGCACGGGAACAGAAGGGGGAGTGTGCCTCTGAGCGCTTCTGAGGACAGCACTGCGGCTAGGCAGACATGGCTCTTCTGGCAGCTGAGGGGGAGCGGAGATGGTGCCCCTGGAAGCCCCTGACGCTCCCCTCCTCCTAGGAGACCTCCCTCCACCTCGGGTCACAGCCCTGCCTGAGGTCGTGGTTTTGTGAAGGACGAATGCGGCCTCCTGTACCAGGGACTCCGGCCTCCCTCATGCCCTGCTGGGCACCAGCCATCCGGGCCATGGTGAGTGGGCAGGGAGGACAGTGGCTGGGCCAGAGCATTGGCACCTGGGCTTTGACTGAGGAGATGAGGAGGCCACACTGCGGGCCACTGCCGCAGGCCAGAAAGGGCCACAGGAGATGAGCAGATAGAGGAGCTGTGCCTGCGGCAGAGCTGCTGTGGTGCTGGTGGGGAGCAGCCTCCAGCTGCTGAGTCAATGGATCCGGCGAGAACGTATAAAAACCTCCAGGTGAGGAGTGAGGGAAAAAAAAAAAAAAAAACCTCCAGGTGACCCTGGCTGAGCAGAGAAAGAGAAACCTGCCAGTTCCCCATTTCAGTTCCTCCCAAAGCCTCCAGCCCACCCAGTGCAGACACCCTGGCGCTGCGTGAGAAGTGGCAGAGTGGGAGGGACGGCTGTGTTTCCGCTTCACGCTCGGGCTGGAAGGATTGTCTGGCCAAAAAGAGCAATTTTTTAAGAGGATTTCTCAGGGCAGGGGCAGGGAGAGACCGACCCAGGAGAATTGTGGGGCCGTCTCTGTGAAGGGAAGAGGGGAGGTCAAGGAAGATCCCATGGCCACCACCACCGCAATCCATATCCCCAGTGTCCCCAAGAGCTGCAGCACCCATTGCCCCCCCCCCAAATGCTCATGTCAGCCCAGGACATTGGGCAGCTGTGGAACCGCCAGAGAGGCCGGACACCTTCCCTGGGGCTGTGCAGACAGGACCAGGTCAGCAAACTCTGCAAGGACAGCATGGTGGAAAGTTCAGTTGGGGCAGGTTAAAGGGAGTTTGTGTCCTTCATGAAAAGAGAAGAATACTCACCCCTTTATTTCCTTGGGTTTCCCTACAAATGTCATTCATCTGTCAGTCATCATGACCCTCCACAGCCGCTTGGGAACTAGGACCCGCCCCTCCATCCCTCCCCTCCCTCCCTCCCCTCTGGTAACCACCATATTTTTCAGTTTTTGAGTTATTTTTGGTGTGTTTTACCAGTTTGTTTGCTTATTTATATTCCACAAATAAGTGAAACTCCCCAGTAATTGTCTTTCACTTTCTGACTTATTTCACTCAGCAGAATCAGCTAAAGTCCATCTATGTTGTCCCCAAAGACACCACTTCATAGTTGTCATGGCCAAGCAGCAACCCCTTGATTTTGCATTCCACGGTTCCTTTATCCAACCCCTGTCGAAGGGCGCCTGTTGGTCGGTCCCATGTGTTAGGAACTGCAGACCTGGGCTGAGGCGGAGCGGGAAGCAGCTGAGCACATGACAAGTGGCCCTGAAACAAAAGCCCCGGGGCCCGGTGGCCTGAAGCCTGCAGACCAGCCCCAATGTCCAGCCGCGTCGCCCTCCAGGACTAGCACCAGGCCCTGCTAAAGTCAGCACTGGCCGTGGCTCCCCTGAGTCCACCATCAGCAAGGCCTCATCACCTCAGCAGAGGCCGGGGTTTGTTTTTGAGATGATTAAGGATCGTAAAATGGAAGAGTCTGGTTGGCATTTGACCACCTCCAGCCAGACAGCTGAAATTGTAAAATGGAAGCATCAGGCTTGAAAGGCCAGGAATGTCATTGAGGCTCCAGACATCTAGAGACTCATGGAGTCCTTCTCTTGGCAAGACCTTGGCAGTTATTGGGAAGATGTGTGCAGACATCCTGGAAAGAACTTCCAGACTGTAAACCTCCCAGAACCTCCTTTGCCTCTAATTTCTACATCCAACTGCAGTGTAACCACTGCTCCTGCCCCTGCCTGTTCCTTTTTATATAGAAAAAAAAAATGAAATGTTGGCAAGGGCAAGGTGAAACATGTAGTCTCATTCATTCCTGAGAAAGATTGAATTAGTATCTCTTCTGCAGAGAACTGTGAATTTAGCATATTTATACTGCTTGATACACCTTTCTATTTGGGGGACATGGCTTAAGGAAATACTTGGAAATACAGATAAAAATCTTTATGTATAAAAACGTTCACCAGCATTTTCTTTACAGTAGCAAATAATTGAAAATTAAAATGAAAAGCCTAGGAACTGGTTAAATAAATTACAGTATATACACAAATGAAATGTAGCAATTGATACCAAGATTCTAAAGTTTTTAATGATGTGAACAATACTCATGGTACGATGTTAAATGAAGGTACAATATAAAATTCTAGAGATAATGTAGTATCACAAAAGAAGGAAAAATCAATGAAATATGATGTTGTTAACCCTTGTGTGTGTAGAATAAAATGGAAAAAAATGCATCATGCGGAATATTATACAGCAGTGAAAATAATTAGGTTCTAGGTATATCCAATGATGTGGGCCAATCTTGCTTTCATATTGTTTAGTGAAAGAGTCAAGATATAAAATAAACATAATATGACTTGATTTAAATTCTAAATACCAGACAAAATTAAAATCATGTTTTAATTATGCATACATAGATGATATATTAAAATGAAGAGCAAAGCAAATAATTTTAATAAAAGTCACACTGGTGCTTCCTTATGGAGGAAGATTATGATATGATGTGATTTGCTATTTCTCGACCTGGTTAATGGGAGTTCATTTTATAATTCTCAAACTCTACATTTGTACCGTCTACCCTTGTACACAGATGCTATATTTCACAATTTAAAATGTTGGGAAATACTGGGAATAAAATAAGCTAGCTCATAAAAGTCTCTTCTGATGGAAGAATCACAGTTGCATATTGTTCATTATGCTTTTTATTACTTTTCAAATTTTCTATAATGCACACACGCCCTTTTAGGGCCAGACCCGGTCAGCTAAAGCTGCTGGAAATCACGGCGAGCGCCCCGCCCGCCCGGGGCCACGACAAGCCGCCGGCGACGGGTCTACGCGTCCGGAGAGCCCGCGGGGGTCCGGGCGGCAGCGTGGGCTTCGGGGCGCCCCCAGGGTCCCCAGAGCAGCGGCACCTGGAACCTCAGTGTCCTGGTGACCTCGCTTTTTAGTGCGGGGTTTGGGTGTCCGGGCTGAGCTCACGCGCCCTGAAGTTTCACATCCAAACAGGCGCGTCCCGCCCTTCCCGCCCTTCCCGCCCGGCGCGTCGTGGGCACAGGCCTCGCTGCGGCTACGGCGGCCCCGCCCCGCTCCAGCGCGAGGGCCCAACCCAGCCGCGGGGGCGTGACCACGGGAACGTCTCTGCGCTCGCCCCGCCCACCGCACCTGCGCGCGCCTGCGCCCCTCTGCCGCGCATGCGCCCGCCGCCCCGCGCTGGTGCCGCGCCAGCTTCGCGGGACTTGAGGTGAAGTCGTGGCGGGAAACGGCCCAGCGCCCGGCGGGGAGGCGCCCTGTGCGCCCCGGCCCGGGGCCTCGCGGCGGGGGCGGGCGAGCCAGACTGGGCTGGTGAGGCCAGGCCGCGGGCTGTGCGCAGGGGCCGCCAGGCCGGCGGGGAAGGGCTGGACGCGGGGCTCCGGGGCTCATGTCGGGCCCGGAGGAGCGCACGGTCGGGTCGGCCCTGAGCCCGGGCTCGCTGCCGGCTCCTGGGGGCCCTGAGGGCGCACCCGGGTCGGGCTCCCCCTGTTCCGCGGGTTTAGGGTGGAGTTCGGGGCGCACGTTGTAGACGTTCCCGCCCCAGGCCCAGCAGCGGGAGGGCAGCGCGGGTGCCCGTGGGCGCGCAGCGCGGGGCGGGGCTGGGGTGTCCCCCTCTCCGCCCCGGAGGGGAAGGCCCACTTCACCCCACTGTGGCCCGGCTGTACATGGTTGTGTGCAAATTGGAGCTTCAGCACCTGTTTCCAGTTCTTCGGGGCGTCGGTCCGGAGTGGGGACGCCCAAGCAGGGGCCGGCGCCGTCTGCAACTCGCTGGGAAAGACGCAGCCTTGTCCCTTCCAGGCGAGCTTCGCGTGTTGGTGATTTAAAGTGTTCTCCCTCATTCCCGTCGTAGCGTGAAGCGGGGGGTGGGTTTAGTTTTCTTTTTTTTTTTTATTAAGATTTATTTATGCATACAAGCGCTGGGGTACAGGCCAGGAGTATGGGGGTGGGGGCGGTGAGAGGACTCACCAGAGACAGAGTGGGGAGCGGAAGAGGCAGATGTACTGAAATCCACTGCTGAGGGGAGCAGCGGGGAGACAGGAGAGGTCTGCTGTGCCCTCTGGGTTGCTCCCTGGCCGGGGATGGAACTCGTGCTGCAGAGGCTGCGGACAGCTTCCTAGTGCTGTGACTTAACCCCTGCGCCGCCAGGGAGGCCCTGGGTTTAGTTTTGTGTTTCTGTGGCGACTGGCGATGCTGACAGGCTCTTCGGGGGCTGTCGGGGCATTGGTCCGCGTCCTGTGGAGGAGACTCTATTCCAGTCCTCGGGTCACTTTTCAAATTGATTTGTGTTTTTGTTAGTCGTCAGTGGTCTCGTGTGTCCTGACCCCCAGACTCTATCTCTGCACACCGAGGCTTCTGGGCTTTTTCTTGGCTGAAACCATCTTTTGAGTAATCCCTGCGCAGACTGCGCTGATGCACTGACAGATTTTCTGCACCAGTGGCAGCCCTGGGAGAAACCCAGGATGTTGCCACAAATTTAATGCAAAATTAAGTTTTTCAGGTGTAGAATGTTAGTAACTGCCACGTATGTTTAAGCTCAAATGTGCAGATTTGCCGAGTAAGCAGCATGTCATCTTTGAACGCTTTGGAAAATGTTTGCTACAAAATAAGTAGGTCAGAATATTTGTGGCAAGGGATAGTATGTTTTTGGATTATATGCCTAGACGCTAGAATGCAGAGGTTTATCTGTTCAGTTGACTAACATGAAAACACTGGCAGTAGGAACTGGCTCCCATTCCTTGAAAGACTTGTTAGGTCGCGCACCACAAATCAAAATGAACTGAAATTAGCAAAGTAATAGTAACTGGGTATGGGGGGAGGACCTCCTCCGTGGGTTGACCCCAAGTGCTGTTCAGGGGTCCATGTCTTTGGGGAATGTCTCTCCTTCTCCCTCTATTGCGATGTTTGGCCTGCAGAGTCCTGTCTCCTGTAATCTCCCCCCCCATCCCCCTAATGGGGGAGCCCCTGAGGGCAAGCAGGCTCACCTTTATTATAAGCCTCCCTTTAACACCTGCTCCCGAGGCCACATGGTATGCTGTTCTGTGCGCCCCACGGGGTGGCCAGAGCAGGAGCCTCGAAGGTGGTCTCAGGCCTGGAGGACCCTGCTGGTATCTGCACCTTAACACAAGGCCTGCCCGCCCACCCCATCTTTCAAGGCCCTCCCTGCACACTTCACCCCTGATCTGCTCCTCCCCCTCCTCCCCGCTCCCCTCACTGCACCCCCAAGGCCCTCCCTGTTCTGTCCCCAGTGTCACAAACTGAAAGAGCATCTGATTCACGGGCCCCACTTCCAAGTGGGGACCTGCCTATCTTTGGACATCTTGGCTGGCATGGCACCACTCCCCGACAGTGCAGACAGCTGGCTGACTTTATGACTTTGGGGGCCTGGGGGCCTTGGCGGAGATGATGGTGGGTACCTGAGGCTGCTGATACCCAAAACTCAGCCCTGACCCCAAGCACAGCGTCGCCTTCCTCTCTGGGGGCTCTGCCCTGTACCCCCCGCAGCTGTGTCAACCACTGTTTCCTGCCCTCCCCTTTCTTCTGGTGAAGTCCCAGTAGCTCTGTGAGTGCTCCCTCGAGTCCAGAGCTGCACCATCTCTGATTCCAGACCCTGCCCGGGTGGGAGCCCCTCACCAATCTGTTACAGGGCAGGGAGAGGGGCACCCCAGACCCCACAAACCTGCCCGCTCTAAATAGATTCTGTCATCCGCCACATTAGCATAAAACATATGAGACTTTAATGGGAAGGAACTTTAATACAATTGGAAAACAATACAGGAAAGACAAAGGATATAGTTTCTAAATCAAGTACCCAAAGTTACCCGTCCCCTCGTGGGTAAAAGTCCACCCAAGCAGGAGTGGCCCACCGGGAGCTGAGACCTTTGTGCAGGGGAGCGGCTCTCTCTGGCAGAAGCTGCACAGCGGCTGGGTGGTGAGTCTGAGAACCTGTGGGACCGGGTCACACTGGGTAAGAGTGGGAAGGGGAACTGGGCCTGTGGGATTCCTGGGGTGCAGCGTCAGCTTACTGGGAAAGGACACGGAGTGCTCCCCAAAGCAGGATGGCGGGAGGTCTGTACAATTGTGGTCTTTATAAAAACCTTTTCCTAGGAGAAATACCTTCAGCTGGAGCTTCACAGCTCCAGCTGTGCCTTCAGCTGGAGCCATTTCTCTTTTGCCTGAAAACGCTCATATAATCGATCCCGTGACATGTTTTCTGTTTCAGGCTAATGAACAGTGCCCCTGATGTTGACAAAGCTCAGGGTGACCAGGAAGCTCGGGTAAGTGACACTCAGATGCGAGAGCTTTGATTCCGACGCATAAATGAAAAACGAATCTGTGTTAATAAAAACCGTGATCAATGTTGTCATCGCCTCTGAAGATAATCTCATTCGTGGCTCCACCACACAAGTATCTTCTCATTTTGAGAGAAATACTTTATCCCAAACTGCAATGAAATAAGATAAATTGCATACAGGTAGTGAGTCCCCCTTGACGTGTTACTTATCCCTATTGTGGAACATCATAAAACAGAGCATCAAAAAACCACTTCGGTATTATTTTTCTAAAAGGACACACTAGAGGTGTTTGGGGGAGATGAAAGGCTGTCCGGGTGATAAAGTGTGTTGATCACGTTGTTATGACGCCAGGCGTTGCCCCGGATTCCTTCACTGGCCTTGAGGAGGGCGTTCCTGCCACACGCCACGGGGACCAGACAGCTGTCCCTTGAGTGGCACTGACGTCCCTGTACAGCACTGGCATGGCGTGCATAGGAGGCAAATGTAAGATTTAAATCGGAACATGAAACAGGCAATAAAGGTGGAGCCGGGTCACAGCCCAGGCCCTGGTCACGTGACAGTGATGCCCACAGCCTAGGTGATACCCGCCACTGCGCGCCAGGCCAGGCTCGCTCGTCTGGGGCTGTCCTCGCTGGGGCTGGGCCCGCCGGCTCACTTGCTGGCAGGAGCAACGGCGCGTCGCCTCTGCCTGGGCTGGGCTGGCCCCAGGTCTTCATCCTGCCCGTGTGTGCCTCACTGGCACGCTCTCTCCTCGCAGCCCCCATCTGCCTGACTGACTCTCTCAAGGGTGAGTCTCAGCTACTTCCAGGTGGCCCTGCCCGACCTCCCCGGGTGTGTGTCAGGGACCCCTTCCAGGGAAGACTGAGGCATCTCAAGCTTCTTCGCCACAGCCCTTGCAGGCGCTGATGACATTTTGGAAATTCAAACGGAAATGGAGGCAAACATATTCCATGTCCTCTGGAAAAACAGTTAACCTAAAAATTCTGAGGTCCAGGTGGAAGCCTCACATGTCCCCACAGTCTCAGTGGAAATATTTGTGATGATACAAATTTTATTTGGTTTGTACCCAGTTTGGTTTCAAAATTGCTGAAATGTGTTGAGCCTGAGACTCTTAACATTTATTGTATTTGCTTGGTTGAAATTCACCATGTGAAAAAAGGGGGCGTTGAGGGGAGGGCAGACACTGCGAAGGTGTCCGCGGTGTGTGAGGCACATTCTTCCCTTGACAGCTTACAAATTCATTTGGAGTGAAATATTTTGAGGGGAACAAAAAACCCTTTTTTAAATGGGGGTTTAAATATTGTTGGCCTTTGCATGGTTCCCAGAGGGGACTTTCTTTCTCTCTTCTTGGTGCTCCTGACCTTGCGTGGTTTGCAAGCTTGCCCTGCAGTAAGGCCACTGTGGAGCTGCCGCACAAGTGCATGTGAGTGTGTTAATGCCACAGTCTTCCCTGCTGCCAGTGGCATCTCTGCTGAATGAACCAGGGTTTGAGCTCTAGGTGAGACAGAAAGTGAAAGCCACAGTTGAACAATCAACTGTGATCTTGTTTGCCAGGACACTGGATTTATACTGACCTGTGACAGCTTGAGCTGGACACGGGAATTTCATTCTATTCTGTTCTATTCTCTTTTTTTTTTAAGATTTATTTATTTAGGAGCCTCCCTGGTGGCGCAGTGGGTTAAGACACAACCTATAAAGCTGTCTGCAGCTGCACAACACGAGTTCGATCCCCGGCAAGGGACCTTCTCACATGGTGCAGCTGACTTCTCCTGACTCGCCACTGCTCCCCTCAGCAGTGTATTTCAGTAGATCTGCCTGTTCTGTTCCCCCACTCTGTCTCTGGTGAGTCCTCTCACCCCTCCCCCCCCCACATCTCTGGCCTGTACCACAGTTCTTGTATGCATAAATACATCTTTAAAAAATATGTTTATTTATGCATACAAGAACTGGGGTGAGCTGCCCCACATGGCAAAGCAGACCTTTCCTGACTTGCCTACTGCTCCCCTCAGCAGTGTATTTCATTAGATCTGCCTGTTCTGTTAGCCACTCTCTCTGGTGAGTCCTCTCACCCCCCACATCTCTGGCCTATACTCCAGTTCTTGTATGCATAAATAAATCTTTAAAAAATATTTATGCATACAAGAACTGGGGTATAGGCCAGAGATGGGGGGGTGAGAGGATTTACCAGACAGGGTGGGGGGCAGAACAAGCAGACTGAAACACACTGCTGAGGGGAACAGTGGGGAGACAGGAGAGGTCTGCTCTGCCATGTGGGGTAGATCCCTGGCCAGGAATCAAACTTGTGCTTCAGTGACTGGTGGTAGCTTTATAGTACAGCATCTTAATCCCTTGTGCCCCCAGGGAGGCCCCTCTGTTCTTTTTTTTTTCTTTTTGTAAAGGCAATGAACTAGTCACAGGGAGGAGCTTTCAGCTATGTAAAATTTTGTTTTATGAAGTATCATGGCTGCATCCATTATTTTGTCCTGCTCCTCCCGTAGGTGTAGACAACTTTCAGGACTCTTTTATTTGGAAGCTGGAAGGGACCAGACTTTGAAGTTGTGTCTTCTGTCTTGTTTTACTTAAAGCTGTATATAGCTGTGGATTAAACAGAATAAATTTGTAAATTTAAAAAAGAAGAAAAGGGCAAAACATGTTTATTTGGGTTTAAAAGCTAGCTGGAGCACAGGTTCAGGCTAGAAACCCAAACCCCCTCACTAAAAAAAAAAAAAAATGAGGTGACCTTGACATTAACTCCCAACGCTGCTGCTCTGCCCTCGCCTGCTTGACTGGCAGGAGGCCATGTTTCATCCTATAATGTTTCTCTGTTTTGTTCTTTTTTAAAGATCTATTTATTTTTATACAAGAAGCAGGGTACAGGCCAGATGGAGACAGAGCGGGGAACAGAACAGGCAGACTGAAGAAATACACTGCTGAGAGGAGCAGCAGGCGACAGGGAAGGTCTGCTGTGCCATGTGAGAATCTCGCCCGCCGGCTGGGATCGAACCTGCGCTGCAGAGGCTACAAACAGCTTCATAGTATGGTGCTCAACCACCCGTGCCACCACGGAGGTCCTAAAATGTTTTTCTGTAACCACATGGACTTTAAGACTTTTAAAAAATTACTCTTCCCCTGCCAAGGAGCAAGGAGGTAATTTTACCAATGGAGTTTTCATCAACTTCTGTTACAGGTCCTGATAATGATAGGGAGTTGTGTATATTGTAGAAAATGTGAAGAGTAGAATAAAATAGGATGAACAGTATCAACAAGTACTCTTATGACTTAGCACGTTTCCTTCCTAGTTTTTCCCCCAATATTTGCATTTGTGAAATTGAATGCCTGTGTAGAAGGTAGGTAGTAGCTTGAGAATTATAAAATGAGCTTCCATTAAATAGGTCAAGAAATGTAAAATCACATCATAGCATGACCATCCTCCATAAGGAAGCCTTTATATGGCTGTCACTAAATTTTTTTCTTTGCTCTTCACTACATATTCTAGGTATGTATCACTGCATGTATCATTAAAATGTGGTTTTAATTTTGTCGTATTTAATATTTAAATAAATTAAATCATGTTCTGTTTCTGTCTTGAATGTCACTCAACAGTATGAAGGCAAGACTAGTCCACAATTTGGATGCAGCTTGAGACTTTTCACTGTTGTATAATATTCCACTCGATGTACAGTTGTTGTTTACATTGTGTTCTCATGCATAAGGGTTAAGGAGAGTATGCTTACATCATCACTAAAATTTTATATTCTACTTCATTTAACATTGCAATATAAGTACTTTCCACATCATTAAAAACTATTCAGTGTTACTGTGTCTAGTTTTTACATTTAATTTTGTATATATTGGGGGTTTTCATTTAGATAGTTTCAAATCATTTTACTGTAAATAAAGTGTTGGTGAACATTTTTACACGAAAAAATTTTTTATCTGAATTTGAAAACATTTCCTTAGGTCATTTCCAAAAATAAAATTATTTCCATTGAAAATGTAAATATTTTAAATTCAAAGTTCCCTGCACAGGGGTTGTGAACTTATTTCTCAGGAATAGTGAGGACAGATTTCCCAGTCTCACTAACAGTCTATTCAGTCTTCCTCTTGAAGGTTCTGAACACAAATTCCCCCCATGCTCTGCTGCTCCTGCCTCTCCCCTGGGCCCGCCCCTTCCCCGTGGGCTGTCATGGCTGTTCCCACTTGACTCTGCCCCCACAGGTCCCCTCCTGGTACCCGAGCTTGGCCACCTGGGCTTTTCTATCCTCCCCTTTGGCCACTTGGCAGAGATTTGCTGTTTCGCTACTGATGGCCACCAGGCGGCGCCGTCCCCCGTTATTTTTCACATGGTCCTCACTGCCCTTCTATTGCCCTGAAACACTTACTGCATCTTAATTCACAGTCCAGCCCATACATTATTCCGAGCTTGGCCCTTTCATCTTGTCCCTCTTGCCGTTCCACCTTACTCTCCACCTTTCTCACCCCTCCTGGCGCTTTACCTTACCCATCCCACTGCCATCATTCTGCGTTTTCCACCCACATTATCCCTCCGGGCCACAAGGCGGCGACACCAACTCCACCTGCACCTTCATTACACCGCCAGGAGCCAGTCTGCACGGCCACTTCCGGTCCAGCTGGCATTTGGGCCGTGATTTTCCCACGATACCACCCCGGTCCACAAGGCGGAGACACTCGCTCATCTCGCCGCTTTTTTTCGCTCCCCCCCCCAGGAGCCGCTCTTGGAGCGGTCACTTCTGGTCCAGCTGCCATGTCTGGCCGCGATTTTCCCACGATACCACCCCAGTCCACAAGGCGGAGACACTTGCTTTCTCGCCGCTTTATTTTGCCGCCCCCCCCCCAGGAGCCGCTCTTTGCGCAGCCACTTCCGGTCCGCTTTCGTTTCGGAACGCGATTTTCCCACGATACCACCCCGGTCCACAAGGCGGAGACACTCGCTCATCTCGCAGCTTTATTTCGCTCCCCCCCAGGAGCCGCTCTTGGCGCGGCCGCTTCTGGTCCGGCTGCCTTGTAGGGCAGCGATTTTCCCACGATACCACCCCGGTCCACAAGGCGGCGACACCTGCTCATCTCGCCGCTTTATTTCTCCCCCCCCCAGTAACCGCTGTTGGCGCGGCCGCTTCTGGTCCAGCTGCCGTGTCGGGCCGCGATTTTCCCACAATACCACCCCAGTCCACAAGGCGGAGACACTTGCTTTCTCGCCACTTTGTTTTGCCCCCGCCATGAGCCGCTCTTTGCGCAGCCACTTCTGGTCCCACTTGAATTTCGGGAAGAGATTTTCCCACGATACCACCCCGGTCCACAAGGCGGAGACACTCGCTCATCTCGCCTCTTTATTTCGCCCCCCCCCCCCCAGGAGCCGCTCTTGGCGTGGCCTTTGACATTCGGCCTGGAGCATCCTGGGAGTCTCAGAATGATGACGTCACTGCCAAGGGCGCACTTAAAGGGCAGATACAGCAAAAGGCTGATAAAGGACCTGCCGGAGGACTGAAAGCGCCGCCCGCCGTGCGGGACAACGGCGGGAGCTGAGACTAGTGAGGCCCTCGCCGCGACACAGGGGAGGGCGGGAGGCTTGACCAGCAAAGCGGGACAGAACAAATGATGGCAGGAGAGGAAATCTGTCCTCACGATTCCTGAGAAACAAGTTCACAACCCCTCCGCAGGGAACTTTGAATTTAAAATACTTACATTTTAATTTTTTTTAAAGATTTATTTATTTACATAACAGCCGGGGTACAGGCCAGAGGTGCGGGAGGGCGAGGGGATTCACCAGCGACAGAGCGGGGAGCAGAACAGGCAGACTGACTAGAAACACACTGCCGAGGGGCGCAGCGGGGAGCCGGGAGGGGTCTGCTCGCCATGTGGGTTGCTCGGAGGCCGCGGGGATCCAACCGGCGCTGACAGAGGCTGCGGACAGCTTCACCGCGCTGCGCTCGACCCGCTGCGCCACCAGGGAGGCCCTAAAATACTTATATTTTCAATGGAAATAGTAACTTTATTTTTGGGATAGACCTAAGGAAATGTTTTCAAATTCAGATAAAAAATCATTATGTGTAAAAATGTTCACTAACATTTTATTTACAGTAAAATGATTTGAAAGTAAATAAAAACCGCCAATATATACAAAATTAAATGCAAAACTAGATACAGTAACACTAAACAGTTTTTAGTGATGTGGGAAGTACTTATATTAGTGTTAAATGTTGAAAGTGGAAAATTCTAGCACTGATGTCATTCCACCACAGAAGGAAAATATTAATGAAACGTCCTCTCCTAACCCCTTATGTGTGAGCAGAACACAATGTAAACAACTGCATCGAGTGGCCTGTTAGACAGCAGTGAGAACAAACAGTCTCGCTGCATCCAAAATGTGGACTACTCTTGCCTTCATACTGTTGAGTGACATCCAAGACAGAAACGTGAGTAATTTAAATATTAAACAGCTAACAAAATTAAAATCATATTTTAATGATCCATGCAGTGATACATACCTAGAATATGTGGTGAAGAGCAAAGAAAAAAATTAGTGACAGCTATAGAGGGGCTTTCTTATGGATGAAGATAATATGATGTGACTATATTCCTTGACCTATTTAATGGAAGCTCATTTTATAATTCTCAAGCTACTACCTACCTTCTACACAGGCATTCTGTTTCACAATTGAAAATATTGGGGAAAAACTAGGAAGGAAACATGCTAAGTCATAAGAGTACTTTTTGATACTATTCATCCTATTTTATTCTACTCTTCACATTTTCTATAATATACTCAACTCCCTATCATTATCAGGACCAGTAACAGAAGCTGATGAAAACTCCATTGGAAAAATTATACCTCCTTGCTCCATGGCAGGGGAAGAGTAATTTTTAAAAAGTCTTAAGAATTCCATTGTGGTTACAGAAAAACATTTTAGGATGAAACATGGCCTCCTGCTATTCATGCAGGCAAGGGCAGAGCAGCAGCGTTGTGAGTTAATGTCAAGGTCACCTCATTTTTTCTAGTGAGGGGGTTTGTATTTCTAGCCTGAACCTGTGCTCCGCTTAGCTTTGAAACCCAAATAAACAATTTTTGCCCCTTTTCTTTATTTTTAAATTTATAGATTTATTCTGTTTAATCCACAGCTGTATATAGCTTTAATTAAAAATAAAACAGTGAAAACAAGACAATGCTTCAATGTCTGGTCCCTTCCAGCTTCCAAATACAGGAGTCCTGAAAGTTGTCTACACCTATGGGAGGAGCAGGACAAATTAATGAATGGGGCCAGGATATTTCATAAAACAAAATTTTGTATAACTGAAAGCTCCTCCCTGTGACTAGTTCCTTGCCTTTACAAAAAGGAAAAGAATAGAATAGAGTGGAATTCCCTGTCCAGCTCAAGGTGTCACAGGTCAGTATAAATCCAGTGTCCTGGCAAAGATCATAGTTGATAGTTCAACTGTGGCTTTCACTTTCTATCTCACCTAGAACTCAAACCCTGGTTCATTCGGTGGAGATGCCACAGGCAGTAGGAAAGACAGGGGTATTAAAACACGTGACCTTTTGTGGTAGCTCCACAGTGGCCTTATTATAACAACGTGTTCTCTATAACATGATAAACAAACAGGCTTTATCTCCAGAATATTCTTTCTTCATCTTCCCAAACACATCTAATGTGTCTTTTTAGAAAAATAACACCAAGGTGGGGTTTTTTTTAATGCTCTGTTTCATGAATGTTCCACAATAGGGAAAAGTAACATGTCCAGGTGGGACTCACTACCTGTATGCAATTTATTTTATTTCATTGCAGTTTGGGATAAAGTATTTCTCTCAAAATGAGAAGATACTTGTGTGGTGGAGCCACGAATGAGATTATCTTCAGAGGCGATGACAACATTGATCATGGTTTTTATTAACACAGATCATTTATGATCATTTCATTTATGAGTCGGAATCAAAGCTCTTGCATCTGAGTGTCACTTACCCGAGCTTCCTGGTCACCCTGAGCTTTGTCAACATCAGGGGCACTGTTCATTGGCCTGAAACAGAAAATGTGTCACGGGATCGATTATATGAGCGTTTTCAGGCAAAAGAGAAATGGCTCCAGCTGAAGGCACAGGGTATTTCTCCTAGGAAAAGGTTTTTATAAAGACCACAATTGTACAGACCTCCCGCCATCCTGCTTTGGGAGGCACTCCATGTCCCTTCCCAATAAGCTGACGCTGCACCCCAGGAATCCCACAGGCCCAGTTCCCCTTCCCACTGTTACCCAGCGTGACCCGGTCCCGCGGGTTGTCAGACTCACCGCCCCGCGTCTGTGCAGCTTCTACCAAAGGGAGCCCCTCTCCTGCGCGAAGGCCTTGGCTCCTGGCGAGGGGCTCCCGCCTGGGCAGTATCTGGAATAAGAGATGGGACAGCTCTGGACTCGGGGAGCACTCACAGAGCTACTGGGACTTCACCAGAAGAAAGTGGGGGCAGGAAACAGTGGTTGACACACCTGGGAGGGGGGTACAGGGCAGAGCCCCCAGAGAGGAGGTGACGCTGTACTTGGGGTCAGAGCTGAGTTTTGGGTACCAGCAGCCTCAGGTACCCACCATTATCTCCGCCAAGGCCCCCAGACCCCCAGAGTCATAAAGTCAGTGAGTTGTCTGCACTGTCCGGGAGAGGAGCCGCGCTAGCAGAGTCTTCCAAAGATAGGAGGGTCCCCACTTGGAAGTGAGGCACGCAAATCAGCTGCTCTTTCAGTTCATGACATTGGGGACAGGTAAAGAAAAGAGCAGGGGAGAGGGAGGGCATTGGGGGTGCCTGAGGGGAGCGGGGAGGAGGGGGGAGGAGTAGAGCAGGGGTGAAGTGTGCAGGGAGGGCCTTCAAAGATGGGGCCGGGGGGCCTTGTGGGAAGGCGCAGATGCCAGCTGGTCCTCCAGGCCTGCGACCGCCTTCGCGGTTCCGCTGCACCCCGCCCCCCACACACACCCTCTCCCTGGCGCACAGAACCTGTGGCCTCCGGAGCGGCTATTTCTCCAGCCCTTTCTTTGGAGGCTTAAGGTAAAGGCGAGCCCGCTGCCCTCAGGGGCTCCCCGACAAGGGGGGAGATGACAGGAGACAGGACTCTGCAGGCCAAACACCCGACAGAGGGAGAAGGGGAGACGCTCCCCAAAGACATGCATTCCTGAGCAGCACTTGGGGTCAGCGGGCCGAGGAGGCGCCGCCTGATACCCTGATACTCTCGGCGACACCTGCTCTCCCGCCTTGGGTCACACTGGGGTGAAGTAGGGACACCCCCGCCCCCAGCTGCGCACACCCGGGCACCCGCTCTGCCCTCCCGCTGCTGGGCCTGGGGCGGGAGGGGGCTCAGCTGGGAACGTCTGCAACGTGCGCCCCGAACTCCACCCTAAACCCGCGGGAGTGAAAACAGCCCGCGGGACAGAGGGGAGCCCGACCCGGGTGCGCCCTCAGGGCCCCCAGGAGCCGGCAGCAGCCCGGGCTCAGGGCCGACCCGACCGTGCGCTCCTCCGGGCCCGACATGAGCCCCAGAGCCCCGCGTCCAGCCCTTCCCCGCCGGCCCGGCGGCCCCTGCGCACAGCCCGCGGCCTGGCCTCACCCGCCCCGTCCGGCTCGCCCGCCCCCGCCGCGGGCCCGGCCGGAGAATTCATGGCCTTTGAGAAGGAAGAAACAGCCGCGCCCGCTCCGCTCTCCTCGCCCCACACGGTGAGCGCGGCCGGGAAGCCGCCTCCGCTCCTGCCGCCCGGCCCCGCCGCCCGCGGGCTCCCGCCGAGTCTCCCGGGTCCGTCGGGGTCCCGGGGGCCGACGCGCTTCTCACGAGGGGAGAGGGACGCGCCGGGGGGAGCGGCCCTGTCGGCCTGGGGGGAGCCACCGGCGAGGGAAGAGGATGGGGAGAAGGGGGGGCGTGGTGGGTGGCTGGGGGGGGCGTGGTGGCCTGGGGAGCACACCCCGCAGTCTCCCCGTCCCCTGCTCCCAGCCACACACCCGGCGCAGGTTCCTTCCGTGTGGGGGCCCCACAGAGGCGGGGTTCAGGCGCTCACCCCCCCCCCAGAGCAGGAAGTGAGTCCAAGGGGTCACCTGCACCTGCCAACCCCGGGGTCCCTGGGGCGGCCCTGCCTTCCCGCGTCTCCGCCTCCGCTTCAGCCTCCGCGCCCGGGAGCCCGCGGGAGAGACGCGGGGGGGGGGGGTCGGGGCGCGGAACCGCAGTACCTGGGCCCCCCCGCGGCCTCTCGAGCTCCGGGCGCCCTGGGGACCGACCTCGTCGGCAGGAGGCCGGGCTGGGCGGCTGCGGGCCAGCGGCTCGGCGGTTGAAGGACGGAAGGAAAGCTTGGCGGGCGCCCCCCGCCGTGCCCCCGTCCTGTCCCGGCCGCTGCTGTCCTGGCCCCGCGCAGACGGAGCCGCGAGGCCGAGGCGGCGGAGCCCAGCGGCGCGGGGAAGGGTCCGGCCGAGCGGAGGCCGCGGAGGGGGCGGGCGCGGACGGGGAAGCCGCCGACTCGCTCCCGTGGCCCTAGACGCGGCTGCTCCGACCGGGATCCCCGCGGCCGCCTCCGTTTCCGAAAACGCCGCCGGCGCCGCCTGGACCCAGCCCTCGGGCTCCGGACCCCGCGGCGCCGACGGCCTCCTGCGCTCTCTCCCGTGTCTGTCTTGGGGCGCCCTCGGCACACCCCGCTTCCCTTCCGAGAGCTCGCGCGCGACACCCGAGGCCCCGCTCGCGCCCCGACGCCGCGTGTCCATGACAGCCGCGGCCCTGGCCCTGGGGAGCCCGCGGGCGGTGGCGGGTCTCAGGGGATCGCGTCCCGTTCACGCCCACGGAGCCGCGTCCGGGGGAGCGAGTCCTGCCTAGCGCGGTCCTCGGCGTCCAGGGCTCCTGCGCCAGGGCGGGTCTCTGGGGAGGGGCTCCCCTGCCTTCCGGGCTCAGGGGGCCACGAGCCTCCCAGACCCCTCACCCGCCCCCGCCCCCCTACTTTGGTCCGGGAAAGCTCGGCTGAGGGCGCGGCTGCTCCTTCGTCCCCGACGCAGCGCCCGCCCGGGCCCGGGAGCCTGACCCGCCCGCCCTTGGCGCGTCTGGGGCGCGAGCTGCCGCGGTTCATCAGGGCCCCCCGCGCCTCTCCGCCCCCCAACATGCCTTGGTGACTGTGCCGAGAGCCCGCGCCCCCCGCTGCCCTTCCCGGCCCTCCTCGCTCCCCTCCTGGCCGCCCTCCTGAGACGGGGCGGGGGGTCCCGCGTACTTGCTCGGGCTCCGGCCCCCCGAGTGGACTCGGTCTGGGCGGGCGCCGGCGGCCGCGCCCGTGTCTCGTCAGCCCGTCTCTGAGGGCGACCCCGCCATGGCGGTGGGCCTCGGCCACAGCGGACGCCCCGCGAGCGACACCGGGGCTCTCCAGGGAAGACGCTTCTCGGCGCGGCGCCCGCCCCGCCGGCTCCCAGGCGCGGCCGGGCCGCCGGGGCGCAGACCCCCCCTCCCCCGCGTGGGGCCGGTTCCCGAAGGCGCCGCCCCGGCCCCGCGGACACACCCCACGGCGGCGAGGGGGAGGAGGGGCGGGGGCGAGAGGGCGCTGCGCACCGAGATGGCTCCCTCCCTGCCGCCCCGGGGCCCTTCTCCCTCCGGAGACCCGGCGGCGCCCCAGTTCTGCCCTCCTGGGGCCGCGCTGGCGGCGAGACGAGCTTGCGGGGCTGCGGACGTCAGGGGCGCGGCACGGGGTCTGTCACCGTTACCGTTTTCGAACTGGGGCGCCCCAGACGTTTGCGGGAAATCGTTCGTCACGGCGGTGGGGGATCGGCCGAGCCCGCGAGGTGACCGGCGAGGGCTGGACGGAGCAGCTGGGACGCGCCCGAGCCGCGCCCGTCGGGCTGAGGGCGCCGCGGGCCGCTGTGTGACCTGGGGTCAGCGACTCAGCCTCTCTGGCGCTCATGCCGGCCCCGCCCCCGCGGGCACGCCCCGCCCCCAGCCCTCCTCGGGCTTCTGGGAGTTGTAGTCTCGGCGACGCCGGCGGGCGCGGCGCCTTCTGGGAGTTGTAGTTCCAGGCTGAGGACGCCTCCCGGACGTGTCGCCCACCCGCGCCACGGCGGGACGGGGGTCTCGGGGCCGAGGAGAAGCGGCCCGAACTCGCTGCGTCCGGCGGAGGCCGCCCAAAGCTCCCGGAGCGGGACCCGGACTGGAAGGGCGCGGCTGCGCCAAGTGCGCGTCTGTTCCCTCGCGGTGCAGAAGCGAGGCGACCCCCGCGCCGGCCCCTGCCCTCCCCTGCCCACCCACCCGTCCTCTCCCAGACGCCCGCTGCGCCCCCCGGGAGGAGAGGGGTGCCGCCCGAGGGCGCGGGGCCACACCCGGCCTGTGCCCGAGCCCCTGCGCGATCTGACCCTCGCCCCGGTGGCCGCTGCTGCCCTGCGCCGCCCTGGCCTGGGCCCCGCTCCGCGCTCCCCTCGAAGCCCCGCCCCGGCCTGGCCCCTGCTGCCCCGCGTGCGCCCCCGCTCCGCCAGCTCCGCACGGAGCCGCTGCTCCCGGGATAAAGGGCACCGGCTTGGGTTTCCCTTTTCTGTCCTGCAGGTCCGGAACCGAGACTGCGGCGGAGCCGCCGGGAGCAGGACGCACGGGCTGCGGCCCCGCCGGACTCTACAGCGGAGAGACTGGCCGCGCCGGCACCCCCAGCCCCGGGAGCTGGAGGGCGGAGACAGCGCGGCCGCGGGTTCGGGTAGCCCTGGAGGCGCGGGGTGGGGGGGTCGGGGGAGCGGACCCGGGGCCCAGTCCTCCAGAAGCCGCCGCCTTCGGGACGCCCCGCTGCCGCAGCACCGTGTGGCCCACTGGGCGCAGGTCCGCCGCGGCCTCCCTCGGCGCCATAATCACAGCAGGACCCCCAACATCATCTCACCGGTCACGTCCACGTGGTGGGCAACTTGTGAAGTCAAAAACATAACCAGCCACCCCTCCCCCAGGCACCGAGTCCCCACCAGATACTAAGTACCCCCAGAAGCACCGAGTCCCCCCAGAGTCCTCCCAGGGGCCCCCCAGGCACCACTGTCTGTGGTCCCCTGGCCGCCTCTGCCCTATTTCCGGGTAAGTCCCGGTAAGTGAGGGTTCGTGTGAATATTCGCTCATTTGCCTGAATGGGCTCCCACACAGGCGGCCACTGATTCCGTTCATTCTCTTACACCCTACAATCGGCGTACCCCGAGGTGCCCACAGTTTGGGCACAATGTCAACGGACGGGCTGCCCTGTGTCTCGGACAACAGGTCTACACAAAAATCACACGTTTTAAAAAAAACCAATGAGATTTTCCAATGATACCAAAAAGTATAAAGCATGGTGCATTCCCTAATCCAATACCTTTGAAACTTTAAACAACACCAAGAAAAACAAGAGTTTACTAAGCTTTATAATAGATAACTGCTTTTGAAATAGGTCATGAAAATGTCTGTATGTTTCCAAATTTATCTGACCTCGCTTCACCGGTAAATACCTTCACTTGTGTTTTTAAGCAAAATCAGCTCCTAAACAGCCACAGCATCATCCCAACAGAGTGAATCTCTTCATATCCTTATCCAATCCATATTCAGGTTTCCTTGTTCCACCCCCCCCCACAAAGTTTGAAAAACATGATTTATTTGAAAATAAGTTAAGCACAAGTGATCTACGGGTGTATAACTGGAAGAAGAGAGCCCAGGCCCAGGAGGCCTCTCAGCTCAGCTCAGCCCTGAGAAGGAATCAGGCACTGTTGGAGTTTTTGCTTCTGGCCTGGCATCACCTGCACTGGCCCTGGCACACAGTAGGTCCTCAGAAAACATCTGGGGAAATGAGTAAGTGGGGGAAAGCCCTGGCCTGGCCCTGGTGCCCAGCAGGTCAGGAATTGTGGAGTCTGAATCTCCCCTGTACTCTGGATGTCACCTGGGCTTCAGCACACAGGGGGTCTTCAGGAAGAATGAGTCCTGGGGTGAACGAATGAACGGTGAGCATCCACAGCACTAGCCCTGGGGGGCCCTCCAAGTCAGAAACCAAGAGTCCTGGTTCTTTCCTGTCCCCAGCCATTGGCACACAGTAGGTTCTCACGAAGCCCCCCCATTCCCCGCAGCTGAATGCAAGTTCACCCAGCATCCACCCTAGAGTCGTCAAAGGTGACAAAGCACAGTTGTTTTCTCCTAGGGCCGCAGACACCATCTAGGTCTCAGCACACACTAGGGCCTTAGGAAATGCTGTGCTGGACTATTCAGCTGAACGCACCCAGGCCGGGAACTCAGGGTCATAACCATGCAGTCCAGCTCCTTCCTCTGGCCCACATTTCCCCACCCCTGCCTCCGCACACAGTGGGTGCTCAGGAAATGCCAGTTGGGTGGTTAAATGAAATGACCCCAGTTTCCAGGGGCAGATTTCACTCAGGCTAAAGCCAGGTCTTCCCCGCAGGAAGTCGGCGCCCTCTCCCGATAAGTGAAGGGGCTTTTCTTCTCTCCGGCTGCCCCTCACTTCGGCTTCCACATGAAGCTCCTTACCGGGGTGTTTTTCTCACATCGGCACCGGCGGGTCTGCGCCGGTCAACCCGACGGACAAACGCAAACACAGACGGGCACGTTGCGGCCCACAGTCGCCCTTTCTCCCCCTTCCAGCTTGTCACTGCCCTCGGTGACGTGGAACCCCCCGGGCCCTCCAGACACCAGGGCCGCGGGCTCCTGCGCGCTCCAACGCAGTATGGACCAGGCCGCGCCCGCCTTCCCTGCCGCTCCTGAGCCAGCTGGGAGGGCCCCGAGGAGCCACCCCGCCGCGGAGCCGCCCCAGGACCTTGCGCGCAGCTACGAGGTTCGGCGTCAGAGGAGGGTCCTGGCATCCCCCAGCCAAGCCGAGCCGAGCTGACGCCGGCAGGAGCGGAGGGCGCAGAAGGCGCGGAGGGCGGCCCTGTCCCCAGAAGCGCTTGCGAAGGGGGCCGAGCAGGCGGAGTGACCCCCATAGGAGGGCCCGAGGCTACCACCGGCGGCCGCTCGGCAGGAGGCCTGACCTCGGGCGCCGGACACCCGCTGCCCAATTCCGGCGACGGGGAAGTGACTCCCCGGTCGCCTCAGCCCCCGCTTCCCAGGGCTCGGGGCCATTGGATCGTCTCCCGCATCCCGCATTCTTGCGTGGCTCAAGCTGGTGCGCGCGCGCCGACCCCACCACCTCGCTTCGGCCGCCCGATCTCGGCGTCTCCCCGGGAGCGCGGCCGCCCGGACCCGCTAGAGCCGCGCGCGAGGCGGAGCCAGGCAGGCGGCGGGCCCCGCGGCGGCCGCATAGACGGCGGCTGCCGCCCGAACGCCCGCCTGCGAAGGGAGCGGATTTGGCTGCCGCACCCGGCGCTCGGTTCCGGGAGGCCGGAGTGCGCGGGCAGAACGAGCCGGTGGGACGGGCTGTGCGCGCGGCGTCAGACGCTGGGAGATTGTGAGCGCAGACTTATGGGGGAGGCGGTCAGCGCGCTCGCCGACACAGGTTGGGGCTGCGCGCTGCACCGGTCGACCAGCTCCTCGCGGGGTCCGCGCCTCCTCCCGCAGCCCACCGGGCACCACAGCCCGCCCGGGACCCCCAGCCCACCCAGGTCCACCAGCTCGCCAGGACGCGCAGCCCACCCAGGACCACGAGCCTGCCGGGAGCCTGGAACGCCCGGAACGCCCAGCCCGCCCGGTACCCCCACAGCCCACCCGGGACCACCAGCCCGCCCGGGGACCCCCGCAGCCCGCGGGACGCTGCCCAACGAGGAGCGCACATCTGCCGGGCCGGGTCTCCTGGAGGAGACAGCGGCTGCCCAGCGCCCACGTCCCGCTCCGGGGCGGGGGAGGAAGGGCCATGGTGGTGCCCGGTGGGGTATGAACGACCAGGATCCAGCCCCCTGCTGCCCCTGCCGTGCCCGAAGGCCGGAGGTGCCGCCGCTGGTCGCCCAAGTCGCGCGGTCCGGGTCAGGGTCGGTGTCCGCGAGCCTGAGGGACCTGGACAGGGAGCCGGGCTAGCAGCCGCGGGTGAGGAGGCCGAGGGGGCCGAGTCGCGAACCTGGAGCCGCGGGCGGGGCAGGGGAGGCTGAGCCGGGCCGAGAAGCTGGTGCGAGGGACGCTGTCGCGGGGCCGAGCGCCGGGGCTGCGGGGGAGGGTTTGGGGCGGGATTCCTGGAAAGGCCATGGCCGGGGCCGCGAACTGGGGTCGGAGCCGCGTGTTGAAGCCGGGGGACTGGGGCGGAGCTGCGAGCCTGGAGCCGGATCCCCGAGCCGCAGGACGCGGGATCCGGCCGGAGCCGCACTCGGGGATGGCCGCGGCGGAGAACCGGACCAGCAGCGCCCACGGCGCGGAGAGCTCCCCCGTCGGACGGCCGAGGCTGGACGGCCCCCAGCCAGGTCCCACCTCTCACCGCACCACCCCCACCCCCCTCGCGCCCGAGGTCGACCAGAGGCCCCGGCGCACCCCCGGGCGGTGGGAAAGGGGTCGTGCCTGGGGCCGGGAGCCTGGTCGGTGCTCCAGAGGCCCGCGGGGGCCTGCGGCTCAGCCCCGCTCCTGGGCGCCGGGATTTTTTTGGCCCTAAATCGTCGCTTTTTGCCGCCAGGCTATTGGTGGTTCCTGTCTCCGGGCGGGCCCCGCGCGCTCTTTACCCTGTGCTTGTGCTCCGGAGGTTTCCGTGTGTCAGCGCGCGAGCAAGTTTGCTGTCTCATCGGTTTCATGCGAGCGTTTTTTTGTTGTCTTACGCGATGAAGTTGCGTTCACCCAAACAAGACCGCGACACAGGAAAAAGAAAAAATGAGGGCGCCCCCTGCGGGCGGCGGCTTTAAGAAACTAACCAAAATGCGCTTGTGGAGTCTCAGCTGACTCGGCGCGCGGCCCCGCCGGCCGCAAAAGTCTTCTTGAGGCTTCCCAGAACGTAGTTGGCTCCAGGGTGCGCTCGTGCCGTCCGCGCTACCAGACACATCGCTCATGATGTTTTCACACCCGGATGTCAAAAAGGGGCTGGTTGTCCTTTACCGAAAGGTGTTTTGGCTGCGTTTGGGCTCTGGTTTATCAACTCTACAAAAGGCTGCGCTGCCAAATTTCTGCTGACTGGAGCGTCGCCCGCTCACCGCGCTGGGCGGGGACCGACTGTGGACTGAGCCTATGTCTCACGGCAAACCCCAAAAAATGCGCCATCGGGTGCGTGTCCGTGTTTCCCACATAAGAGCAGCGAGTGTGGGGAGCTGGCTTCCTGCAGCCGACGGGGCGCGCTGCGCGAAGCTGTGCTCCCTTAGCCCCGAACCTGGGGTGGGGTCACGAGAAAGCAGGCGTGCCCGGGGATCCTATATCCTGTCCCCCATGTCGTTGGTGCTGTGATGCTTTTTTTTTTGAGACCGCCTTTTACGTGTTCTGGGGCGCTGTGCCCTTGCTCGCAAAATCCCGTGCGCTTCGTGGTGGTGCTCCCGGTGCGTTCCTGCGCGCCCACTGCTCCCTGAATTGACGACCCCGCAATAATGTGCGGGCGTAGGTAGGGCTGTTTTCTGGGGGTTGCTCGCCCCCCTTGAGTGTGGTGGCTACGGAAGCGCCGGGGTTTTGGGTGTTGTCTGAACCTTGCGCATGGGACAGTGCAAACTTCGTGGGATTCTCTCCCCAAGTACAGCGGGCCTGGCTGTTTCCCTGCCTTTTCCGACCCTGCACCTAGCCCTGACGGTCTGTTTTTTTTCTAGTACCTGCTCCTTGACTTTAACATGTCGGTCTCCTGGGATACAGAGCCTGTGGCGCCCCTTGAGTGCTTCCCAAATATGCTTGTCTGGAGCAGAGGTTGGACAGTAGGTGGTCACTTGACTTGCTGCTTGTGTGGCTCTTTATGGTCCTACCACCTAGAGGTGGCCTGCTTCCCCCTTGGTGTGGGGCCCCTAGGTGAGTTGGGCTTGTGCCCAGTACCTGCTACTCCTGGGGCATTGGATACCCCTGGTTGTAGTTTGGGGGAGCCCAGAGTTGGGTCTTCGGGAACATTCCCTGAATGCTGTGTGAGTCATTTTGAATTGGAACTGGTGCCCCCCAGCACATGGGGCTGGCTCTCTAGCTTTTGGAACAAAAGTGCCATGTTTGGAGACCTCTGTGGTGGTGTGAGGGCAACACAAGAGATGGGTGCTCTATTGTAGGCCCTGTGGGGGCATGAAGCACTAGCAGGCCCTGGGGGGAGAGTGTCTTCTCACTGAGCTGTGCTCTGGCTACCCTAGACCTATGGTGGTGTACAGTATGGTGCTTGGCAGAGGTGGTTAACCACAGGCCTGTGGTGGGGAGCCTATGGTGTTGGCCTCTGGTCATCAGGCTGATGTGGGCTGACTTTAGTTGCTGGCAGTGTTGTCCCCATGATTGGGATTGTAGCTGGTGCTTTTGCAACTCTGTGGGGCTGGTTCTGGAGTGCTGCTCCGTGGGCTGGACCCTACAAATGGGTGGTTTTGTGGGCTAAAGCAGGTCAGTCCTTCTGACTTATCCCTGGTGGGTACCTGGCTCATGTTGACTGAGTGGGCCTTGCCCTATAATGGAGGTGTGTAGCACTTGAGTGTTGGATGGGTGGTGGTGCTAGAGCTGGCCAAGAAAATTTTGTCTGTGTGCAGCTGCCTCACCTTGCTGCAGTGGTCATGGCTACTCCCCTCCTTAAGCAGTTGGCCCTAGGTTGGGGCCTCCTCCACAGCAGCTTGGGGGAGTGTACTGGTCAATGGTTGGCAGGGATGGGGCCTATAGCTTGGTCTCAGCCCTAGGTGCTGTGGTTTTCTTGCCTGAAATGGTTCCTGTTTCTGTCATCATGGTTGTGGGTGCTGCTTCCTTAGTGGAGGCCCTGGAGTACTCTGTAACCTGTCTGCCCTCAGATGCTTCTGTGTAAGGGGCCTCTGCTCTCCAGGCTGTGGTGGCCATGATAGGGCTATGGGGCCCAGTTTCTGGAGCTGTGCACCTTGGGATGCTTGAGGCTGTGGTTGGGCTTCAGTTCAGCTACAATGTTGGGAGGGGTGCCTGGTGGAAGGGGGCCTTCATAGTGCTCCTTATCTGTGTCCTGTGTCTGGGGAAGTGTGTTCCTTTCACCCTATGTACCTTCTTGCCTCATTCATGATGGTGTGTTCACCCCCAGGGAAGGCTCTCAAGCCAGGGGTGGTGTGACTCTGCTCAGTGCAGAGACTTGAAGCTTGTTTTAAGGGGTCAGATGCAGCTCCTGACAGAGCCCACCCCCTGGTGTGGTGGTTGCTTCCCCCAAAGTCTAATCCCCATGGCTCCATGGGGGCCCCCGGGTAAGTAGCTTCATCCTTCTGCTGTAAGTCTGGGGCTGTTGCAGCGGCTGGGCTTTGGTACCGGGGTGTCGTGTGCATGGCCCTACTATGGAGTGCAGGTTGCTCGGTCTGGGCTCCAGAATGGGTCGTGGGTCTCTCCTCCCCCCGCGCTGGAACCCAGCTTGGGGGGAGGAGGGACCTCCTGCTGCTACGCCCTGCTGAGGTCGACCAGTTGGCCGGCCCAAGCCCAACAGCCGGGTAGACCAGATGGCCCGTTTTCACCTGCCACCAGGTGGCGCTGTGACAATGGGATCTGGGACTGGACTGGACCGGACTGGACCGGACCGGACCGGACCGGACCGGACTGGACCGGACTGGACCGGACGGGACCGGACGGGACCGGACCGGACCGGACGGGACAGGATCCGGGACGGGACAGGATCCGGGACGGGACAGGATCCGGGACGGGACGGGACGGGGACAGGGCGTGGGTCGGAAGGTGATGGGAAATACAGCGCCCCCATCCAGATTTGTGTCCTTTCCCTGTAGATGCCTCTTCTTATTGGGGTACACTCCCCAGAAGCGCCACGGGGAGAGAACCCCCCATTTCAGACTTGCATGTCCTCATTTCTCTGGCAAACCAGGAAAAGGCCTTGGAATCCTGGTCAAGCGACATGAAGGGACTCCGTTTCACCATTTATTTGGGGTTTTCTGGTGTGATCAGAAAAATACTCTCGCAGGTTTTCCCATAACCTTCGTGTGGTCAGGACAGGGGCGGGCCAAAATAAGGGGCACACAGTGTAATAAGCCAAATTTGGAATTCTAGAAACAGAAAATCGGTCTAAAATGTCCACGAGACACACACACACACACTGGTCGTGATGCAGGCAGGCCGCAGCCATGGCTTCTGGAAAGCAGCTGACAGGCCACAGTCCCTTCACAGAGCTGGGAATCAAGAAAATGACTTTTTTAGACTAGTCATTGCAAATTAGAGGACAGTGTGACATAAAAAACACTGGGCATCCAACTTCAACTACTGGATAATTTGTAGTAAGAGAACACAAAGGATTCAACCTAAACATTGACACAAGGAGTAGAAAATTTTTTCAAACCCAAGACCTAACAATGGGAAACAAATCCCAAAGCTGGAGGAAAATGGATATAAATCAATCCTGATGCTCTTTCTTTGGAAAAAAGAGTAAACTGGTCACACACTTACAAATGAACCAAAAAGGGAAGGGTAACATAGTAAATTAAGGCAATAATGGGAACGGCTGAGTGGTAGGATTTTCTAGCAACAAAATCCATCATCAGGATGAATAAAAAACTGCAATGGATACACACCAAACTCGACAGACATGAGACTCCTCCAGAAACTATCAAGACCGGGGCTCAGTATCTGGAGACATATCCAACACCCCAAAAACACAGGTCAGGAAGCTACTAGCACTGTCCACCCACTGAGCTACCTCCATCCACCTTCTGCGAGGTCAGGCTGCACCTCTAGTGGGGGGCACCAGCGAATCCCTGGCCCCCTCCCAGTGGGATCAGAAACGTTTGCATCGACGATGACTTCATTCAGGGACACAGGTGCAAGGCCTCACCAAAAGGTTAAATGCAACAAATATCCCAATGGATGTTGGGAGGGCACTCGGTCAGCCTCAGTGGCCTCTCCTGCTGCTAGCCCAGTCACTTCCTGGCAGACACGCAGAACCCTCAGCGGCAGCAGCATGGTGGTCAGAGGAAAAGCATGGGCATCCTGGTCAACACCAGGAACAGGAAGAGCACACAGACCACCAGGATGATGGTCATCTGCTGGGACACTCTGGGCCACTCCAGGAAACCTTGAGACAAAAGGGGGTGTGACAACAGCTGGGGGGGGCACTTGCAGGAGGAGGGCTTTAGGCCCAGGGATAGCTCAGCCTGGCACATGCTGAGCTGCTGCGATTTCAGCTGTAAGAGGACACGACTGGGTAACAGGTGAAGTGACATCAGGCTCCGAGATTCTCTTTCCAGCTGCCTGAACCCACAAAGAACCCACCCCTCCTGGGACAGCCACAGATCCCCCCCATTTCTTGGAAGGGGGTCACCCACAGGGGGTGGCTGTACCATGGGCAGGTGGATGGAGCTGGTGACCAAACCTCACTGGGGGCCAGCACTGACTGCCACACCTTCCTGTGCGGGGTAGGGTGCGCTGGGGCCACTCATCCCTCAGAGCTCAGAGGTAATGGCCCTGGCCCTCTCCCTCCACCTCATCCAGCCCTCGCTCCTCACTCCTTGCTCCTTGCGGAGCCACCTCGGCCCCCATCTCCCCTGTGGCCCTCCCCCCACGTGCACAGGAAGCATTGGGGCCATGCAAGCAGCAGCCAGGACAACCCTCATCACCTGGACCCCTGCGGCCCTCCTGCAACAAAGGCCATCGTTTCAGCACAAAGGAGACCCACACCCATCAGCCCCGCCACCTGCTCTGGCCTCTCCGGGAGGCCCCAGAACAAGCCTATGGCCCGGAGCTGCCCCGTGGAGTCATTTCCATCCTCACCCCCGGGGCCAGCCTTTCCTCGCCCCCAAGTCTCTTTCTGACTTGAACCATCAGTCGGGTCGAGCAAGAGGTGGGGGACACCTGCACTGGGCGAGAGGCCGCAGCCTCCGGGGCAGGGGGTGGACACGCGCCTGAGGGCAGCCCATCCCCGCCTCACACCCAGGGCTTGTGGCCCCAAGACAGTCTTGAGGACGTGCTTGGCGGCGCCTCACCAGTCAGCAAGGGTGCCCGGGTGAGTGGGTGAGTGGGCAGTGAGCAGGCTGAGAGCCCTTGAGTGGGCGGCTGATGGACAAACTGGATCCACACTTGGGGGGGCACACGGGAGCACGAGGTTGGGGTGAGGGGGGCGGGGGAGTGGATGGCCAGGTGGCGGTGATGGGCGAGGGACGGCCAGGTGCAGAGATGAGGGGCTACGGGGCGGGGGGCCGCTACTATGCCGTGGCCTCCTGGGCCAGCTCTGGGCAGACGGGGTGGGGTTCCCAGGGCGGGAGTCTGCGGAGGGGAGGGAGTCCCCTTACCTGGGAGTCCTAGGGACTGGGCCTGGCGCCTTCCTCCATGGAGCTCCGGGCCTGGGGGAACTTGGCATCCAGAGCAGGCAGGTCTGGGGGCACAGAGAGAGGCCGTGAGTGACCAGGCGGCTGGCGGCGCTCGGCCCCGCCCTCCCCTGCTGCCCCCCTGCAAGTTTCAGGCTGGGAGGAGCGCGGGGGGCCTGGGTGTCCTCGTGACTGCCCCTCACCTCCGGGACAGCCCCTCCCAGCTGCGCCAAGCCCCCAGCACACACCAGCGGCAGAAGGAGGCCTCCCGGCTCCCGGAGACGCCCCACAGCCAGAGCCTGTGACCCCGCAGGCCTGCGCGGGACGGGGTCGGGCCACGGGGACACCCCACACTCACGCCCCGCCTGATGGACCCCGCCGCCCCCGCGGCGCAAATGGCACTGGCCTCGTGGGGGCGGCGCCCCGCGAGCGTCTTGGCCAGCAGGTCCGTTAGGAGTTGGGTGGGGGGGGCCCTGCCTCTCGGGTCCACTTACCTGCCTCCTTCCGGAGCCGCCGAGCCGCAGCCCTGGAGGACGCCCGCGCTCCACCGCCCGCGTGCCGCAGAGACGCGGACATCCCGCCTGCAAAAACAAACCCAAAATCTCCCCAGAAGTCGCCCCAGTTCCGGGGTTCCCAGCACGCAAATCACGACCTCGGGCACCACAGACCCCGTCCCTCTGCGCCCCGCCCACCCGCCGTTTCCCGGGGACCCCGCGGAGTCGGCGGCTCCGGGTGGCCTGCACCTCACTGCCAGCGGACACCCCACGGCCGGACTCCCGCCCCGCCTCAGGGTTCGAGCGCACCTCAGCCCCGCCGGCCCCGCCCACGAGGCAGCAGCGTCCGCGCAGCCCCGTGGGCCCAGTCAGGTCCGGCCGCGTTGAGGACGCGGGGCAGGGGGCGCGCGGGCTCGGCGAGGGGGGGCCGCTCCTGGCTGGAGCAGCGGGTGAGGTCGGCCCGGACCTGCCAGGGGTGCCGGGAACCCTGCCGCGCGCCCCGCGGCACGAGGGCCCGGGACCCGTCCCCCCATGGCCGGCAGACGCAGGAGCAGGGCGCTGCTTGAAGCCACTGGGTCTGGGGTGACTCCCTCCACAGCGAGGCCACCCGACACGGCCCCCACAATGTTCGCGCACTGGACCGTGGGGGGACGCCGCCATCTTCACTCCCCGCGGCCTCCTCACCTTTCTCCTCACCTTCGTCTCCAGGACCGCTCCACTGCCCCCCAATCCCGGGCAGGGCGTCCGATGGGCTGTGGCGTCTGGGCGCACTCCGGCTCCAGCAGCGCGCGTGGGCGGGCCCGAGGCTCTGCAAGGCGGGCGGGCGCCCGGGCCGCCTCCCTGGCCCCAGGGCCGATTCAGAACCTGAGGACGGAGCAACATTTAGTCATTCGGCAAAGGCTCGCCGCGCCCCCGCGGCCGGCACCTCCCGATGCCAGAGACGCGGCCCCCTGCTCTTCTGGGGTCCCCTCCAGGGGCGGCCACAGACACCTAGGGGTGTCACGCGCTTGAGGCTCATCAGGCAGAGAGGGGAGGGAGGGGGCTCTGGGGGTATTGCGGGCGGAGCACGAGCAGGGGCCACACGGGGGCTGCGCCCATCGAGGGACGCGAATCACGTTGGCGGAGGGGGACACGGCCTCGTGGATCCGTGAGAAACAGCCGCTTTTGCTTGAAACGGCTGTTCTGGGCACGTCGGTTGCGTCGACGAAATGGCCGAGAGCGGCTTGGAACAGTCTGCAGGGACCCCCCACCCGCACCCCGCAGCAGGCAGCTTGTTCTCGGGCTGGGGGAAGCAGGGGGGATGCGGGGTGACATAGAGGTATATGTGGGGTGGCAGGGGGATGTGATTGTCAGGCCCTGGCTTTTATGTTGTGAGGTGGGGTAACAAGAAGGATATTACAGAAATGCACACAGAGAATGGCTGTGTTATACACGAATTGGAATTATAAACACTTGAAAAAGTGAGCTGTGGGTGACATTTTTTTAAATGACAAGAAGCCATGCTTTTAAATATAATCTGCTGTGTACATCGTAAGCGATTTGCTGTTTTCAGTATCACTTTAGATAAGCCAGACACTTTTTATGCCCCTGGCATAAAACCCACCCGCTCTCGGGTTGTTGAATGAATGAATGAACGTTTGTTCTTCTCAAAGATCTGGTCACAACTGTCCCCATCGCTCAAGACACTTTCATAAAGAGCCCACTATGTGCTGGATATTGCAGGAGGCAGCCGGGATGGCTGAGCCTTCTCCAAGAGGATGATTTTCACATCCCACAGGGGAAGGACACTCTGAGGCTGTGATTTGAGCTGCTGTGATCTGGCTCTTCCCTGGTTTTCTATGTTCTCATGGAGCTGTGGCCACTGGGCTTTGACATTCCGGCTCCTCAAGAGAAACTTCTAGACTTTACACCCCATGGCAGGAAAGACCCTGTGTATCTAACTCGACCACGGGCTAGAACACATCTCAGCACATACCGGACATTTATGAATCCATTGCTGTTTTGAAGGGTTGAGTGGATGAAAATGGTGTTTAATACAGTCAACTATTCCATTGTCTTTTTTTCTTAAAGATTTATTTATTTATACGTACAAGAGCTGCGGTACAGGCCAGAGATGCGGGGGGTGAGAGGACCCACCAGAGACAGAGTAAGGAACAGAACAGGCAGGTTGACTGAAATGCACCACTGAAGGGAGCAGCAGGCAAGTCAGGAGAGGTCTGCAGCGCCTGTGGGTAGCTCCCTGGCCGGCCAGGGGATCGAACTTGGGCTGCCGAGGCTGCAGATTGCTTCATAGTGCGGTGCTTAACCCCTTGCACCACAGGGAGGCCCTTCCATTGTCTTAATATTGACAGTCACATGGACATATCAGAAGCAGCACAAGTGACTGGACCATGCAGGATGCAGCCCCGACACGGAGTCTGCTGAGCCGGGCTCTGCCATGAGCCGCTCCCTGGGCCACAGCCTGCGGCCCCCAGCTCTGCTTCCCCCCCTCCCAAGCTGTGGCCCAAAGGGCAGGGTTCTGTGACACAACCCGGGAATCCTGTCATTGAGGAGCATCCCACAAAGGAAGACTCGGTCCTTCCTGGGGGCACAGGGGTTAGTCTCTGCACTACGAAGCTGTCTGAGGCCACCGTGGCCTGCATGCAATCCCCCGCCAGGAAGCATCACTCCATCAAAAAAGACAAATGGTTAGAAAAGATGAATCCAGTAAGGTGACAGAACACAAAATCAGTATATACACAAAATTCAGTTGCGTGCCTACACCCTCATTATGACCCATCAGAAAGCATCAATAGGAAAGTTTTACAATTGCATCAAAAAGAATGAAATACCTGGGGAAACATTTAATGAAGAAGAAAAACCTGTACACTGAAAAACTAGAAAATACCAGTAAAAGAAATTAAAAGCAGAAATAAATGGAAAGATATTCTGTGCTTGGCGATGGGAATAGTTAATGGTATTGCAATGTGCAGACTTCCCAAAGCAAACCACAGGTTCAGCGCAGTCCTGATCACAATCCCCACAGCAGCTTCCAGAGAAACTAACCCTCCTGAAGTGCGGGGGGCAAGGGCACAGGGGACCAGAAGCACCAACTCTCCAAAGGTGAAGCTGGAGGCGTCTTGCTCCCTGACTCAAACTGTGAACTAAACACAAAGTCTCAACTGGAGGTAATTTCGTAGATAATAAAAGTGAGAATTTGAACCCAGGGAGCAGTCAGGGTTATTCTGGGCAAACGATGCCAAACAACAAATCTGAATTCAGCATCTCCGGAGAGAGAGTCGCTGACATTAAGGATGTGCTTGTCCTGGGGCAGGGGCTTCCATTCCAACCGGCCCAACCTAAACAGACGCTGATGCAGGAGGATTTCATCTTCTTTCTGAAGGACGCCTGGAGAGATGCAAAGACTGAGCCCCCCTCCTCACATCCTCTCCTCCAGGGCCACAGAGCGGGGAGAAGACGGGGGCGGGCGGGGAGGTGGGGAGCTGCTCAGACCTGGCCTCTGGGGTGGTTTTGCCTCCTGCCGGCTAAATCCAGGCAGAAGGGGGGCGTCAGCCCCAGAAAACACTACATGCTCCCCAAACTGCATGATAAACCCGCTGTGATAGATACACCCAGGCCAGCGGCGCAGAAGAGCCCGGGAGCCCCAGGTGCCATCGATGCAGCAGAGGCGCCCGGAGCAGGGGCGCAGGACACCGCTCTTCAGGCCCTGGAGGCGGACACGGAGGGTCACGCTCAGGAACGAGCCCGGACCCCTCTATTCCTCCATGCCCAGTACGAACCCCAAATACCCCCCAGTTCTCCACATCCAGCCCTCCCGCCATGGGACCTCCCACTGCCCTCCGCGTTCAGCCGCCCTCAGGGAGATGTCCTCACCTTCCTCTCGCCTTCGGCTCACCAACTCCTCTGCCAGCCCGAGGGGACCCCAGATAAATGCACAGATGACTCCCAGATGCATCTAGAAGAGACCAGGTCCCAGCAGCCCCAACCCCACCCAAGGTCGGGGAAGCCGGTGGGAACTAAGCAGCCGACTGCACTGCGCGCATGCGTGGTCAGGGGGCGGCGCAGGTGCGGCAGGTGGGGCAGGCAGGTGGGGCGGCCACGCCCACTGCGCAGGCCCACTGCAGCCGGACAAGTTGGAAAATCAGACTCAAACAGAGGCAAATAGCCCTGTCTTCTCCAAAAATACCCCAACGAAAACTCCAGGAAGCCACTAAAACAGCAAAACAGGTGTACATGGATTTAAAAACTTGTTCAGGACCTCCCTGGTGGCGCAAGGTTAAGACGCAAGCTATGAAGCTATCCGTAGCCTCTGCAGCTCGAGTTCGATGCCCCGCTGGCCAGGGAGCGACCCACATGGTACAGCAGGCCTCTCCTGTCTCCCTGCTGCTCCTCTCAGCAGTGTGTTTCAGTCAATCTGCCTATTCTGTTCCCCGCTCTGTCTCTGGTGAATCCTCTCACCCCCCAACCCCGAACTCTGACCTGTACCCCAGTTCTTGAAATAAATCAATCTTAAAAAAAAAAAAAACTTGCTCAGGATGATTTAGCAGTGATCACAGATGCCTCACCAAACCCGCCCCTCCTCCCAGGAGACAGAATAGGGTGGTCTCCTCAGCCCCTTCCAACAGTGCTACTATCAGTCTTGGGTGGAGCCAAAGCTCTTTGATCCTATTTCTGTCATCATAATTAACACGATTACTTTTCTGTTTAATGTAATAGAACTTTCCACTTGATTTTAGAGCCCAGGTGTACAGGGAAGTGCTTTTGTGGCTACACGTCACAGAAAAACCTGACTTCAACCATTAGGAAAATTCTAGTTTACTTAGGAATTCTCGAGAAGGCTGGGACTGTTCCAATCCCAGGTTCTTTTTGGCCCTCTACTCTGCTATCACTGGCTCTCTGCCAAGGGAGCATCCTGGGAATGTGGAAGGACAGCTGCCCCAGTGGCAGGCATCATGGGACAGCCCAATAGTCACAACCAAAAAAGGAAGAGAGAAGTTGGGCCTCCCTGGTGGCGCAGTGGTCGAGCGCTGGGTTGCGAAGCTGCCCGCAGCTTCTGCAGCTCCAGTTCGATCCCTGGCCACCAGGGAGGGTCCCACAGGGCGCACAGACCTCTCCTGCCTGCTCACTGCGCCCCTCAGCAGCGTGTTTCCTCAGTCTGCCTGTTCTGTTCCCCGCTCTGTCTCTGGTGAATTCTCTTACCCTCCCGCGCTTCTGACTGTACCCAGTGCTTGTATAAATAAATAAATAAATCTTTTTTAAAAAGGAAGAGAGACGCAAAAAGACTCTTCTTACACCTTTCTTCCCTACCAGAAAGGAGACTATTTTCAAGTAGCATCCAGCAGAATTCCTCTTACACACACTGGCCAACACCGGGTCATATGTTTTCTCCTCGACCCATCTCTGGTAAGAGAATGGATTCATGCACTTTGAGCCAATTGTGAGATGTTCCCTAGAGTTAATGTATTATTCAACATAATTGGGGTTCCCTCAGGAAGGAAGAGGGGGAAACACCCGGGCAGTCTTCCATGTGGAAATGTATGATGTGTCCTCAAACAAGTGAAAGGCAGTGAAAGGTAGGAATGAAGGAGAAGAGACAAGCAAGGAAGAGGGAGGGAGAAAGGGAGGAAAGAAGGATGGAAAAAAGACTAATTTACTTTATAACTAAATCATATCTTTATGACTTACTACAGTGCAAGAGTTTTAAAACTTTTTGCAGCAATCAAAACTCTCATATCAAAAATACAAAATATTGGTTTTTGTCATTCTGGGGGCTCAGTGTAAAACAAAGATAATCCATTTTCCATCTATTATAAAATAACAGACACCAGATATTTTTTGTCGTATTCCTGTTTTACTTCTTGGGG